GCGTTTTTATTCGATAAGTGTAATTCAACCGTGTTTTTTTTCATCAACGACTTTTGTCATTAATTTACTTCCATAGGCTTCCAGCTAACGCACACAAACTGTTTACCCCCAGAAGTCCAAAAAAAAAGCAACACACAAATAGATTACAGAGGTGAGCCTTGCTCAGCTTCTCCTTGTTGAAGGAGAAGTAGGTGAGTGTATTTCTATATATTGCATCATATTGTTATATAAAAGAAAACTGTTTACTGTAAAGCACCTTGGCCTGGTTGCAGTCTACATAGCTGATATTGTTTAAATGGTTCCTTTCTTTATAGATGCCAGTGACACACAGAATCCCTGTACTGCTGCCTAAGTTAAAGATAAATATCTATTGAATATCTACAGTCTCTGTGAGTTTATAGGATGACAATGATTATAAACAGCTCAATGACCTCACAGACCAATACAGAGACAGAGTGCTGATCTCAGAACAGCCGCTTGCCACTGAACCCCTGCTGCCACAGGCATAGACTTGGCCCGTCTCTCGATTGAGAGTCCACTCGCTCAGGCTCCTCTTACCGCGCGTTGCCATAATTTCACTTGCGCCAGCTAACCTTTCCAGCGGGTAATTCTGCCCAGCAGTGACATTAACAAAGCAGTTTCCCCGGGCTGGCTGAATGGGAATGAGCTCCCACCGTCCCTGGGGAATCTGCTGGGTGAAAGCAGGGCGGTGAGGTTAGGGAGCATGGAGTGGACCCGTCCCTCGGCCCCCGTCATGCCTGGGGCTGGAAGCCGTCGTACCAAAGCTCTGGGCCGGCCGAGAATCCAAAAATAACCTCCCACGGCTCTGAAATCCCTTAATGCCGGTGTGGTTGGCAACGGCAGAGCCTCGTGAGACTGATCTCACCTGTGGTCTGCATCCATCTCTCCTTCTTTTTCTTCCACAGCCGAGATCTCTCTCTCTCTTTCTATATTCCTCTTTCCTGCTCTGTTTCTCTGTCTCTCTGGTCTCTCATCTCCCCCTGCTCCTGGTATCTACCCCAGCTTCTCTTCCTGATGTTTCCCTAAGCTGTAAAGGTCACAAGCAAATGGTATTTTAATGCAGAATGACAGAAACCCTCCAAACAACTTTCTGCATACAGCTGTGTTTCCTATTTTTTTCTCTTTGTACTGGACACATCTTGATATCCATTACACTGGGAAATCGGTCAGCATTAAAGCTCCTATAACCAATATAGCAAAGTGCGTTGGGAACGTAACCATGGCAACTCACCCCTATAGTGACCTTGGACGCCTGAACACATCCAGAGGGTTATGAAGTTGAAGCAGTAAGGTCAGAATTCATGTTAAGCTGGAAATGGATGGGAACGGAAGTGGGTTCCAAGGACCTGAAGTTCTCAGCGACCCCATCCTTCACCCCGGAAGCCATCTCCAAATCTAAAACCCAGCCCCAGGTCTGAAGTACAGAGGAGCAGTTGCCACTGAGGGGGGGTGATCAGGCTGAATCGCTCTTTCCATTTCTCTGCCCCTGCCATGAAATGATGCTCAGAGAGAAAATGGATATGATTGAGGTCTGGTTTTCTAGCACTTTCTGTGACACAGCCTCTCGTCCTGACCCAGCGCTACTATCCCTATCCCCATTACCACTAGTGTAAATAACAAAGGGGGGGGGGGGGCAAGCCATATTAAAACTCATTCAATTATGCCTTATTTCAGCAATCCATATCCAACTCCCCTGCTCACAGTTCATCAATATTGCTGATAAATTCCTTTCAGATGATTGGTGAAGCTCAGAGCTGGATTCCAGGAACTTCTGTCTGTCTGACGGGGCAAATTCGTAGATAAGCGCCACGTTCAGCAAGCAGGTCTCTGCATCATGTTCAGATCTTGACTTTACCTGTAGCAGAATGATGCTAAAATTAGCTAAATAGGCCACGCTGATGTAAAAATATATATATAAGATTTCAACCCTTTGATGGGATGTATGCAGGGGCTCTATGTCTCAGATCTCACAGCGTTCAACTGATATTGTGAAAATGTGGCAGAAACACAACATAGAACCTCGCAGAAACGTCACAAGACCTTCAGGCATCCTTGGCATTGCATGTGCACTGAGGCCTCAGGCAAACCCAAAGCTGGATTCAGATGTATGGCTCCACACTCATCAAAAAGATTCCAGATAATGAGGATCCATGGCGATCAGACAGACACAAAGCCTCTTTGTGTTTGCAAGAGGATGACAGGGCGATCTTTGGTGTTGGCTGATTCACCATATGAACACAGTACTTATTTTTATATCTGCTATATCAGTTACAGCTTTACCTAATAAATGACGTTGTTATGTGTAGTTTTTAATGAGACTTTTCACAAGCAGAGGCGAATTTTATACATGCTATGCTATGGATTTGGTGTTGACACAGTTGCATAGTTATTACACAGTAATTACTGTAAAGGTCCATAACTCTTGCTCTTGACTGAAGAAGGACTTGGATGAACCATTCTTTGACCTGCCGGTACATGGACATGACCTCCTGTCCATGATGATGTGGATTTGGGTGGGATGGGGTGGCTGATGCGATGTCTTTGTCACTGGGGGGGGGGGGGGGTGCACAGGGAGGTCCTGAAGCAGACCCTTGACACAGATGAGCTGCGGCAGAGGGACAAGTGGACGCTGTTCGGGAACGAGGCGGAGAAGGTGGAGGTGGAAGTGATTCGGAACCAGCACACTGTCAGGAAGCGGGCCGACCGTCTGGCGCTGCGCCAAGAGGTACCGTGCTGCCTGAACATACTGGATTATACAGCATTACAGTCCAGAATTTACAGGTGTTAACTATGTACTCATATGTACTTACAAATATTAACTATGTACTCATATGTATTCATATGTACTTACTGGATGGCTGTACCCTGGTCTTATCTGATTACCAGATATAAATCTCAATAAATTTCAATCAAAATTAAGTGCGTTGCAGTGCTACCCAAGTGGACCACATCCTGTGGGTGTTAAAATGAGTTCAGCCCTGACCCCATGGGTAACACCAGGCCACAAATGGAAATCAGTTGGGGACCAGCGTAAATCAGCACAAAAAAAGATATTTTCACACACAAATGGAGGTGAGAATTGGGAACAGGCATCCTGGTGGTTTAATGTGGTCTTTACAGTCTTCTCACGCTCTAGACAAAATTACACTGGCGCGTAGAGGTATAAAATATGAAACGGCCTTGTCTCATTTGCAATGTTTCTTACGTTCTTAAGTGCCAGCGCTGATGAAAGCCTATAGTTCTCTGTCACTTTTACCCGTGTAAAAGGCACCCCTGTGTGGTCTGGCCCTGCAAAATTCAGCCGCTAATCCCCTCTGACGAAATGCTGCAGAAATATGTGTTAAACGGTTTTAGGTAAAATGCTAATTATTTAGTCTCCTCCAAGTTTCTGCAGAAAGTTCAGCTCTCTGTTCCAGGATGGCTGATTGCTGAGCACAGAGATAGCCGAGTGCTATGTCTGTAGCTCAGATGCTAATCGCCGTCAATATCAGCAAGATCTCCATAACTAGAATAATATATTAATAAATAAGAAACCCTTCCTGACCTGACGGCTCATGAATATTTAGAATTAGCGAGATGAAGATAATTCACCAGAACTCCTTTAGCTGGGATGGAGCAGAAAAAATACTGTGTGAATGAGAAATTGTACGTCAAAATGTATTTGCTTCTGAGGGATCGATTATACAAAAGTCAAAGTCGTCATGGTGCACTCAGATTAACTAACCTGGATGTCTGCCACATTCATATCGGTGCGCCTCAGCTTTGGACGTCCCCTTGATTATCTTGGGATTTTTCACACTTACAAGCAAAGTAACAAAGAAGGTCAAGCTGGACAATTAAACAGGCTTTTATAGAAAATGATTAACTAGAAATGAGCTCGTGACGACACCACAGAAGTGCTGCACATTCCTCTGCATCTTGGACCGCGGAACACATCTGTTTCCTTTTGCAAAACTGACATGTAAACTTTTGTTTTAAAAATATGATACAATTCAGCCTTTTATTATTAAAGTTTTACCAGTTTGCATTAAATTATTTGCAAGTAATTGTTCATCACCACAGTCTTAATGACACTCCTGAAGTCACTCACGTGGTTATTCATGTTATGCATGAAAATTAAAACACAGAATGACGACACGGTTTAACAATCATGTGGCTGCACTGGCTTACCAATCAGATTGTGGAGGAGGTGGGTCCAGATGACTAGAGGATTTGGGACCAACCAATCAGATGTCTTGGTCCTCTAGTTGCTTGGACCAACCTTCTCTACAATCTGATTGGTTATCTCTTTGAATCAATTTTCCATTCTGCCCTCAGAACATTTTTGTGTAAATAAAACTCCCACGAGCTTGTATTTATGGATACTGCTTCCCACGTGTGCTTCCCACCCACAGGCGGAGCGAAAGGCTTCGATCCACAAGAAGTTTCTGGAAGACCTAAGCATGAGAGGGCCAGACTTCCCCATCCCCCTGCGTAATCACGCCGTGTGGGAGGGCATGGCGGTCAAGCTGTCCTGCACTATGCAGGGCTGTCCCAGCCCTCAGGTCACCTGGTAGGGCTCAAGTGTGGAAAGACATAGACAAGCAGAGTAAAAGCCCTCATATCCAGAAGTCTCAGGGTCGAGGAGCTGCCAGATGGTTCACTTTCCGGAGAGTTGAATATTAGTCTTGAAAAACACTAAATTGTAACACAGTACTTACACTTACTTTCATCATTATATATGCAGACAGTAATCATTATTGTACTGTTTCTTTAACAATGCGGTAATATCAGATGAAATCAGATATTCAATACATCTCAAGCGGTCGCTATTGCTATAACAGAACAGGCAGAAAGGCCGCTAAAGCGTGTCACTCCATAAGCGTGTCACGACGTAAGCGTGTCACTCCGTAAGCGTGCACAGGAACTGACACTTGTATTGTGCAATGCTTTTCTTTGTCATGTTGTGTCATTTTTAGTTAGATTAGTGTACATTTTGCATAGAACAGTGTCATAACTATTGTCATAATTATTCATTGTCATAGTGATATTTTAGAATTGTGCAGGTTATTTGAGGGTGCTGGTGACTTAAATGCTGGACATGTACTCTTTAACTATGTATATAAACACATGCAGACAGGTTAGACATATATATATATATATAGATAAACACGTGTACACGATAGGCACAGACACACGTCTGATTACGTCACATTGACTCACTCTAATGTCAAATATATTTCTAGCCTGCAAATTGCTCAAACATATACAAGCTGGCGACGAAAAACAAGCTGTCACTTTTTGTCCTGCCTAAATGTCACTTTTGAAAAGAGGCCTGTTTTAGGGGATCACTAGTGGCAAAGACATTCCTGAAGGTCACAGAGACACACGCACGCACACAGCTGCGCACACGTCCCCCTGAGAGGGAGTGCTCGGACTGGACATTAAACGGGGGCTCAGACTGGGACATTAAACGGGGAGGCGTCTGATGCTACGATGGTCAGAGCATGGGCCTACCAACAGGGCCTGCTGTGAAACGGGCGGCGGGGCTTTCGCTGTGCCGGTCCCGTGCTGAGTCTCTCTGTCCATACTCTCCCTCGCCTGTTACTCCAGGTACAAGGATGGAGTTCCTCTTGGGCAACTCCACCAGCCCTGGAACGTCAAGGTCCAGCAAACCCACGGCCTCAACACTTTGGAGATACGGAGGTAAGAACAAAAGCCCTAATTACAAAGGCTGCAGGCTGACAGCCTCTGGTCAGGGATTTACTGATAATATGTAATATGTCTTCAAAAAAGTAGGCATGGAAACCACTGAACATCTATACTCTGCATGTCTCCTGAAACCCAACTCTGAAACATACTCGTGACACATAACCGATGCAGGACTCTGACCTACTTAAACGATCTGGTTTTGTTTACTCTTCGATGGCAAAAGAGGAAGACAGGCTATTTTAACAACATTATAGCAGCTGCTGATAAGCGTTTTTTGGGCAGCCATCGTAAGGCAAGAGGGGGCGTGGAGCGACGAGGCGGGTCTGAAGCGGCTCGTTAGCGATGACGCTCTGTGCTTCACTTCTCAGGGCCTCTGTAAACGACGCTGGGGAGTATAAAGCTGTAGCCAGAAGCCCTCTGGGTGAAGCCATCACTTTTGCCACCCTGCTGGTGAAATGTGAGCCGCCCTGACGTTACCGCGGTAACACGCCAAACTTCCCTGTCATTAACTGAAGGCACCCATCTTAAAGGGAATTTAAGTCACCCTCCCATCCTTTTGTCTCCATTGTCACAAACACGTTGACTATACGTGACGTGGATTGAATTTGTCTGATTTCTATTTCAGCGTATAAAGGTGGCAAGACTGGCTTGGAGACCTCCAGGAGTCTGAGTGAGTTTGGCCCATTTTACTGCAGTCATTTTGTGGGTATGAGACATTTAGGTGGAGCCAGTATCACCCAGGGTTTGATCCAGCCCATATTTAACTGTCTGTTTCTCCTGTAGAGGCTGGTCTAGACTGGCATTAAAAATTGGGGCATACACAAGGGCGGGGCCACAGGGTCATTGACTCAAATTGAAAGCTGATCGGCCCTTGCAGTCCCCTTTCCCCTACCACACTCTGATTCAAAACATGTCATTGGTTAATGATTAAGGTTGGCCCCTCCATATGAATTACAACTACCCCCCCCCCACGTTACAAAAAGTCCTAAAATCGCCCCTGTTCTCTTGGTTTTACTCCATCTGCATCAGTCTCGCTTTTGCGATCTTAGCCACAAGCTAACGGTCAGCGACTCCTCTGTTTGCATGTTCTACAAGAGACAGGATGGTGGACAGGTGCGTAACAGGAGGAGACAGAGCAGCAGGAGGTGCTGTTGCCTCATTAGGTACCAAAAAAAAACAAGGAAAAAATACACAAAAAGAATGAAAAAAATGAGTCATAATCAAACCCTGAGAGAAATAAACAGCAGTGTCAAACTGTGAAAGATTAAGTTAAATGTGGGCACGAAAGTACGAACTACGTATTATTTATGTCGATAATAATTTCAGATCAAATAATCGCCAACGGCAGTTCTGCTTATGTAAAACGTCTGTAAATGTTACTAGAACTGCAAAAAAACAAAAACAAGAGCAGACCACAGAGCACCTTTTCCATTTATCAAGAACAATTTTCCGGGCTATTCCCAAAAGGATGCTTTGGTAAACAGCTTGTCAGAAGCTGCACCTTTTCGGAATGTCATTCCTCATCTCCCAGCTTTCCCTGTCATGCTGCACATCTACCAAATCGCTGCAGCCTTTTATGCGCGGCCTGCAACGTGGGCACCCCTACTCACGCACAGATAAGTCGCCTTTCCCATTGCCTACGTGCCATTGACCCGTTTAAATACTAGGCAATTTTGACAGTTTGTTACAAGAGGAAAACACTCACAACTGCCACTCTGCCCGATGGTGTCGGAGTTCAGGGCCGATTCCAGGCTGTGTATCTGTGGCTCTCAACTGGTTTAGCCTCAGGATCCACAGGTCTGTAAGTCACAAGTCAAACTGCTGATAGTAAAAGCTGTCAACCACAAACCCTGCAACTCGCTGACATTAGCCTTGTGACCCGTCGGTTAAGAAACACTACTTCATATATTTAGTTAGCAGACATAAATTATATGTTGTTCAGAGCGCAGAGTCACACAGTGCCTGGAGCAATTTGGAGATAAGAGCCTTGCTGAAGGGCACAACAGTGAAATCTCAATGCTGACACTGGGGTGTGAACCCACAACCGTCTGATTACAGGCCCAGTGCCCTAACCTGCTGAGTTACACAGAGTATGTAGCCTATCAGCAGTAATATTTGGGTCGATGGGGTCACCAAGATTATGTTTATTCAGCCTTTCTCTATAGCAACCATGAGTCTGGTGGATATAGACATGGACTCATTACAGCAAGGTTTGTTGGTTCAAGTCCAAGGTGCAGTAAAGCTTCCTGTCTAGGGCTTCGGAGTAACAGGAGCAAGTAAATGTGTGGTGGGTGCTTCTCCAGGGCCAGCTGTGGAGGAGGAGGCCCGGATCGGCTTGACCTTCCCCCCGACCTTCGCCATCGAGGGCGAGGCACTCAGCCTGAAGTGTGACTTCACTTCCTCGCTGCTGGCCTCCCAGCAGGATGTGACCTGGCTGAAAGATGGTGAGCAGTGGGGTTGGGGTTGGGGAAGGCTCATTAAAATTCGTAAAGGAAATCAGCCAATCAGGTTGTGCTTATTTTATGAATATTAACAGTTCTTCCCCTCCATGGTACTCACCAGCCAATCAGGTAGCACTTCCTTTATGAATATTAACAAGCCTTCCCCTGCCATCCTACTCACCAGCCAATCAGGTACGCTACCTCTATGAATATTAACGGTTCTTCCACTCAATCCTACTAGTGCTTCCTTTATGAACATTGACAAGCCTTCCTTTGCTACCTTTGCTACCTTACCTATCAATCAGGTTGAACTACCTTTATGAATATAAATAAGCCTTCCCCTGTCATTATACTGACCAGCCAATCAGGCAAGGCTTCCTTTATAAATATTAATGACCCTTGCCCATCCTGATCACTGGCCAATTCAGGTAAGTCTTCCTTTATGAATATTAAAGAGGCTTCCCCAGCAATCCTACATTCTGGAAGTTTGCAGTAGGGACAGCTGCCACCCTGCTCCGCTTAAATCTCAGGGTCTCCCACCCCCCGCCCCTATCCCACAGGAGCCCCGCTGCGGGCAAACAGCAAGGTTGAGTTGCAGACGGCCTTGCGCTCCTCCAGCCTGACCATCAGGTCCATCCACAAGGAGTTGGAGGGCATTTACACCGTGCGGCTGCGCACCTGTGACGGCTTTGAGGAGCACAGCGCATACGTCTACGTCAAAGGTGGGGCTGCCACCAATGCCCGGTCCTCAGTCGGCTCAGCCAATCAGAGATGACAGAACACAAGTGTCATCTGTTGGTTGTATTAATAACCTTTCAGGGATGGTGTTGAGTGCACGAACATACGGAGCTTTGCACATCTTGTGCGATTCTGTTAACTGTGTTGTGCATGTTCTATGCATGTATGTTTGATACGCTTGGGTTGTAAACATACTTGTTTTCCCACATGCTTCACAACGTTTTCCTTTTCATGTTAAGAAACCCTACCTAGGTTGTCGTCGTGTGTCACAACACATCAATCTATTGCTGACGCGCTCATAAACCTGCCTAAACCAGGTCACGGTTTCTAGGGGAACGGGGCGTAGCCTTAGATAGATTTAGGTAGCCTTAAGTAGGTCATGCTCGCAACCTGGCAGGTACTAGGTACTCATTAGTAAATGCTCATTGTCAATGCTGTGAGTCAGTGCTGGCCCTGCAAGATACCCAGGAACAAAAATGGCTTTGGCTGATCCCCGACATGCGCTGTCACATCCAAACATAGTTCTCTGCCCCCAAGAATTGTGTTTTTCTGGAGGTGAGAGTAGTTTGCTGAGGGCCCTGTAGGAGTCATGGATAGTAGAGCGCAGTATTTAATTCAGGGGGTAGGTTCTCAGAGCAGGGTGTGTCGAGGGCTGGCTCGACATCACCCCTTCTGGAGGTCCAGGCCTGGCCCACTTAAGGCTGATCTCCAGAATCCTCACACGGCAAGGCTCTATGAATGTTTTATGAATGTCTGTCAACCGGCCCTTTCTTGAGGCGTCAAACTTCCTGCATGAGTATGATATTAATGCCATAATCGTGCGAGCTCTGCCTTTCTCTCGTCATATTAGAGGATCCGCCTCAGACTCCTGTCATGGCTTGTAATGAAAGGGCCAGCAGAGGTGGCTGCCTGCAGCCCTCATCTCGGAAGTGGGGATGCGGGTCGCGGTTCTCTACGTGGCGCATCCGGGGGCATGGGCTGATTCGCTGGCATGGGTCATGTGGTCGGTGACACTGCCCCGAAGGACAGCTGCAGAATTAACCTCTTCTGGCAAAGAGGAACCTTTAAGAAGGCGACTTCCGCATCCCGTTACGTATCTCTGAGCCGCTGTTTCCAAATGCCCTAATTCCGGCATTGTGTAGCCTATATACCAGGGGTACCCAACCCATCCGTTGATACTGGCATGTTTCCAGGTCGATCGCAGGAGATGATGGATGGGTAATGCTATTGGCCAGCCGGTTGATTGCAATCAGCAAAATATATCAAGCGCTTTTTGTTGCCAGTCCGACCCTGTGCACTTCCCACTGCGCTGTGGTGCAGGAAGTCGGAATATCGCATCAATTATATTCAAAATAAGCATCTATGCTACAGCCCTTATCACGAAATTAGAGTTTGGTGTACAGTTCTGTACAAAAGTCTTAGGCAGTGAAAGATAATGTTAAAAGCTGTTTATCAGAGGAGTAAATATATATTGGCTCATAAAATAAAACACAGATAAGACTATAGACGACATCAGTGACCCCATAGGGCGCTGAATTGTCAGCCAGTTTCACTTTGCCTCCAACAGGGGGCACCTGCGGTGATGCATACCCAGGGTGCCAAATCAGCTGGGACCGGTACTGCATTAGAACATATGCAAATCAACAGAACACAATAACAATGAATAAAATTTTCTTCTGTTCTCCTAAAGGTTTCTGTTGGACGGCTAGATGAACACCGCTTCAGTCCCCAAACCTCTCCTCAGGGGCACCCCGGCCTTTCCATGTATTCATTAAATTTCACCACCTAATCAATTAATTAATTAGCAAAATTAGTTAAATAACTCAAAGAGGTATTCAATAGTGAAACAAGGTGGGGTAGCGGCCAAGTAAAAAAAATACTGAAATAGTTACTGGAAATACTGGGAGACTTTAGAGGAGGTTTTGAAATGGCTAAGCTGACACACTTTGACAGATATTATATCATAGGTCTACACCAACGTGAAGATCATTTAGACATCATTTTCTTTGACTGCCTAAGACCCTAAGACTTTTTCACAGTAGGGTTATACCTGCCTTCTCATACATGTTTCTTCGCTTTCTTCTTCTCTCTGTCTCTCACTCGCTCACCCTTGCCCCCCCCCCCCCCCCAGATGGGGTGGCGGCCACGCCGGGGGCTCCAGGCTCGCCCATGAATGTGCAGTGTCACGACATGAACAAGGACTACATCCTGCTCACCTGGACGCCTCCCAGCGCAGATGGGGCCTGCAAAATCCAGGGCTACTATGTGGAGAAGTGAGTGGAAATGGGCCAGCAGGGGGCGCCCTTCATGTGTCCTGGGTCCTCAGTCATTAGTCTATGAAACATGGTTAGACACCATAACCGGTGCGCTGTGTACAAGCCGCATGTGACTGTCGTTCTACTGTCACTACTTTCGAGAGGCTCTTTGCCCTTGGTGGACGTGGCTGCTCCGAGATGCTGGTCTGTCGTTATTACTTAAATCCTCCTGCAAGGTCCCTCACGCACAGTTTGGAGACACAGATGTGCCACACAAGCACGAAGTGCTTAGACGGTCATGGGGTCAGGCAGCGGTGGGTCCAAATTCAGTCTGGTGCTGACTTATCTGCCACGATGCAAGCGTTTGCCGACTGGCTGCCTTTTGGGTTCGCAACCGGAGAGGGGGGCTCTGGACAAAGGGAGGAAACAAGCATGGATGCAGTTCCTGTCAGCTGCAGCTGGTCAGTTCCATTTTCAATCTTCATGGCTGGATGATTATTAGAGAGATTTTGTTTTCATCTAAAGCTCAACTTCAACCGTGCAGAAGGATTAAAATCATGTGCGTGTTCTCAGGCAGGTACACGTGTGTTCCCAGGCATGTGCACGCATGTGCCCAGGCACGTACAAGCGGGTGCTCTGGCACATACAAGCGTGCACAGACATCTTCCGGAATAATTGCCACAGTTCTGGGTGGCTTGACAAAGGGCAGGACCTGGCAGAGACCAAGTCCCGTAGAGTCACGTGCTGAGGCTGTAGTCACCTACCCTGCCAGTCTCCTAGCAACGTGACTTACAGTCATAAGTCCCCCCCACGTCAGCGTGTTTGTCTTCTCGCTTGCCGGATGACGAGCATTTTAGTGGCTGTTGCGTTTGCTGTTTGTTTGTATCCAGTCGTTTTGACTAACCGGCCACTTGCAGCAGCTGAAGAACTTAAGTGGCGGCTGTTAGGTAAATTACAGCAGGACCCCATGACTCTTCCAGCATGTGTGGGAGGACAGCCAAGCTTCCAGCTCGTTCTGTCAGATTTACAGCGGTATTCTTCAGCAGGCCTGACAAACAGCTTTCAGGAAGCCGCAGAATCACAGTTCAGAGTTCTGCCCACTTCCCCATGTCTGGGTTCATGTCTCCTGTCTTGTCTAACTTCCCCCCCCCCCCCCCGAAGGTGTGACATTGGCGTGGGGGACTGGGTACGCTGCAACGAGACCCCACAGTGGGCCTGCTGCTACCCCATCAGAGGCCTGCTAGAGAACACCATGTACCAGTTTAGGGTCCGAGCGTTGAACCAGGCCGGAGTAGGCCGCCCCTCCAAGGCCACGGAGCCCGTCCTTACCTCAGACCCAGCTGAGCCCGGCCGCAGGATGGGTAAGACTCTCCCCCATCACTGCTTGTAATGGTGTAACTGGATGCTGCCCCTTCCAGTGAAACTCTTTTAACTGTTGGAAATAACCTGCTGCTATGGCTTACAGCATCTCGCAGATGTCTGCGACTTAGCTTTCGAAGGGCAGGTCACAGGGCCAGCTACATTCGGACCACAGGGGTGGCTCTAAGGGGTGGCCAGGGGCAGCCATGGCAGCCACGGACCCCCCTAATAAATACATGGTCACCCGAGTCACCGCCCCTCACCAACAAAATCTAAATATGGAGCATTTAATTCTGTAAATCAAAGCTGCCCAACCTGTCAATCAGTCCGTGGAGTGCCTTCAACTCGATCGCAAGATGATTCATGAATAATGCTCGTGGTCGTCTGTCCCCTGGCAAAGTATTCCTGAGGAGAACCCTCCACACCCCCAAGTTGGCAAAAAAAGTCCCCATTGCTATCGCAGTATAATCACTGGGTGTTGTCTGGCCACCACATTGTACAAGGTCTGGCTTGCACTGATGCCACACTATGTGCTGTTCTTGCCCTCCAGTGTTCAAGGTGTTTGACGGGAAGGAGATGGTCATCACCAAGGACGAGCTAGAAGGTGATCACGTCCGTGTCAACTCCAAGTTACAGGTAGTGATGGCCAAATGAAGCTTCATGAACCATTTGCTGTATTTTTTGACCCCACTAGATGTTGCTCTCTGTTCTTGAAGGGGCTCAAAGCATGCCCCAAAGCAAGCCAAGAGCACCACCTAGTGGCGTCAAAAAATATAGCAAATGGTTCATTAAGCTTCATTTGACCATCACTAGTTACAAGCTCCTCTGTCGTTACATTTATTTACACTGATAGATATTCAGCAGATGCTTTTACCCAAAAAATGGTGAAAACACTTTGCTGATTTGGGGATTCAAACTACCTCCCTTTCACGCATAGGCAGAGCATCTGAACCTGCTAAGCCACACAATACCACACATATCTCAACTTAACTTAGATGTTACATCGCATGTAACATTTGTTTCACAGCAAAATCGCCCTTGCTTGATAGCAAAGTGTAAATCTTCTACACAATGGCCCCCCTCACCTCCCCACCAGGTGAAGTGCGGGTTCCGCTCCCACCCACGGATGTTCATGCCTGTGAGGCGAGCGAGTCCTTTGTGGTGATTGGCTGGACAGAGCCGGAGCCCCGAGGCCGCGAGCCACTCACCTTCTACGTGGAGCGGGTGAGCAAGGATCATCCGGAGAGCATGGTTCAGAGTGTTTTTGCTTCATTTATGCGTTTCTCATGTCACACACCTTAAGAGCCACACTTCATCAGCTGGCCCCTCTATCAAGAGGCACTATTCATTTGCCCCTGCAGGCTTCACTGCTGTTTGATACATTGCATTTATTTGTTTAACACTTACATCCACGATTACTTACAGCAGAGGGAAGGATTACAATTTATATCTGCTCTCTGGGATTTGAACCTGGAACCTTTGTGTTGTCAGCATAATGCGCTACTAGTTGAGCTACAGCAGCTATGAGGGGACAAAAAGGGGAAACAAACGCTACCATTTCCTGGGCCTCCTGGAGGGTTGACTCAATCTCCACTGCAGGTCGCTCCAGCACACTACTGCAGTAGCTCTTATTTTAATGCTCTCTGCCCATCATATTACTGCCCCCTGCTGGTTACATAATTGTCTGCGTCATCACTTTAAACAACATGTGAGCTCAAAGGGTTTTGTTTTTTGGTTTGGAAAAATGTGTCAGGGTTTGCATTTGAAAGAACAAGCTCTACTTCCATAAAGAAACCTGACATTTCGCCATATTTGCCGCCCTGTTAGTATCTCTCTGCTTCTGAAGTCTCAGAAGTGTCTCCTCTTTTCTGGCCTTGCTGGCTGTTTCTATACTCCAACATGCAAATGCGTGTGACCTTTGGCCACCTGACACAGCATCCGCTCCCTGTGCCAGATGTTTATGTAATTGCAGCTAGAGACACAACTCATTTACTGCTGTAGGCTATTTGCCAATTTTTTTAATCATTAAATGAGACTTAACGTGTATAATATCTCCAGACTGGAACTGAAGAGGTAGAGCCAATAGCAGCGTTTCTGTGGTGTTAGTGAAATGTTGCAGGAAGAAGGTGGCGGAACCGGTAGCCGCGAACGCAGGGAAGAGCGCCACGTCTCAGAGTGGAAATCTCCCCTTGTTTTGCACATAGTGTCACTTCTTAAGAAAAATCCCACCGCTCAGCCTTGAAGACGGGTCACATAAGGTGACAGCGCCGGGAGAAGTTATGTCATCGGCCGCCTCACACTCCGAGAGCTCTTTGCCATGTCAGTCGTATCGCCGAGCCCAGTGCTTTCAAAAAAGACAGGCCTGATCGCAGGGGGCTGCCATGGGGAATTTTTATTCTGCTTGGAAATGTGGCTCCACTCCGTCAGGAAGCGTCTGAGCGTGGCCGGGCTCTCCGGCTCCGTGGGTCCGTCTTTCAGCACCGCCGGCTGGTGCTCCATACCCCCTGCCTGCAGTGACGCCTGCCGTCGTCTGTCCGAAATGGCAGCGGCTTTTGTACAATGGGGAGAAATAGAAACCTGAATGGCGAAATATGTCTGGGGGGAAAATGTAAGGGAGGTGGTGTAGGAGGCCATTGAGGAAGCGGGAAAAGTGAGCCTCTATGTCTGTGTCCTCAGTCGGTGGCGGGGCACGACAGCTGGCACCTGGCCAGCCTGGGCCAGACCGTGGCCTCGCCTCGTTTCGCCATCTTCGACCTACAGAAGGGCAAGTCCTACTGCTTCCGCGTGCGGTCCATCAACAAGTATGGGGTGAGCGACCCCTCACCACCCAGCGAGCTCATCTCACTGGGGCAGCCAGTAGGTGAGCATGACCTGTCTCTTTCCTGCTGACTGGGGATCAGGGTCACAGACCTCAACTCTGTGTTTTATTGGATTTCCTAAAAGGAAACCATTTACCGCAAAAACAGAGGCATTTTTATTTCATATTAAGGTATCTTTTTCCATCTTGAAGTTGTCTATGGCGCAGGGATGTATACAGGGGCGTTGCCACAGAGGCACTGGCCCGAGCTGAAAGCTGATTGGCCCCTGGAGAGCCACGTCTTCTGTCAATCACTGAGTCAAATCATATCATTGGCTAATGATAAGGTCGGCCCCTCTTATGTCCCCCATCCTAAAAAAATCATAGCTCTTCTCTGGTGAGTGTGTGAGGCTCAAAGACCTGTGTGTGTGTGTGTGCGTGTGTGTGTGAGCTGTGTACATGTCCTCACCAATCAGTGTCTCCTGCTGTTCCTCACTAGCGCCGCCCTGTCCGCCCCACGGCATCCAGGCACTGAGGGACACGGACACCTCGGTGCAGTTGCTGTGGAAGGAGCCAAAGGCCACAGAGGGCATCTTGGGCTACTACCTGTACTACTGTGAAGCTGGGACCGAGAACTGGAGGACGGTGAACAATAAACCAGTCACCAGCAGCAGGTAAGCATGCCCAGCAGGGGGCGAGCTGCAGAGAAACGCCACCCAGATGCAGCCACGAGGTGCACCGTTACAGGGTTCTAAGTTAAGAGGAGTTTCCCAGCTAGTACTTTCGCAGCTTGAAGCACTGTGTGCTCTGTTGCACTGCACTACATTACCCAGGTTGCACTGCAAACAACACCCACAGGAGTTACTTTGGGCAACCATGAAACATGACAGGAACAGCGATTGTTATTTTCTGTAATATTACATTACGTTGCCTGTGTTTGGTTGATTTCCCTTGGTACCATCGTCTGAGAAATGTTAGTATGTCATACAGGCAGGATTGGCTGCCAGCCTTTCAGCACCTTCGTCATGTGACCCTTGCAGCCACGGCACTGCTGATAAGAGTGACACCTAACCCTCCGAATCGATGCTTCTAAATCCAGCACCGCTCTACTCCCAAGCCCCCCCACTCCCGCCGAGCCGATAAGACGTCAGGGCAGACTAGGCTAACCAGGCTAACCACAGCTTAGCAGAGACCGTGTCCTATCCGTGCCATAGGTTCACCATCCATGGGCTCACCCCCGACAAGATGTACGTCTTCCGGGTGAAGTCTGTGAGCCGGGCGGGTAACAGCGAGTACTCAGAGGAATCGACTGCAGCGCGGGCGAAAGCAGCCCTGTGTGAGTAGCGGGAGTGTACAGATGCCCTCCCCATGTCCAGAGCATCACTGTGTGGCTGCAGTCACCTCAGATGGATGGAGGATCCTTCTCATGGGGGTTTTCAGGTTGAGAGGTCAATCAACCAGAAGTGATTTTTGCTGCATTATTGACCAACTGTTCAAATTGCAGCAAGAGCAATTTGTGGGCCGACAAAGGTCATACTGTGCTAACTAATTCCCTCGGGGTGTCTCAGCTAAACTGGTTTTCTCCACTCACCAGTCCATTTTCCGCTACAGCTGCTGACACAGCACAGTTGGAAGTTATATCACAAACCAATAGACCGAGCAGCTGGTCAATAATGCAGACCAGTTCAACTGGTCAGGAGACTGAACTAAAACCAGTTGAAAAACCTAGAGCAGGGATGGTCAACTCTGCTCCTGCAGTGCCAGTATCCAGCCGGCTTACCTGGTTGGTTACTATCTGCCTGAGATCAGTTGTGGTTCATCACAGACCAGGTAGGACCATCCCTGCTCTAGAGGAATATGCTACTGGAGGCAGGACAAGTGGGATGATGAAGTTATGCTGTTTGTAGAATCACTTTCATCTGATATCTGCCGCCTAGCGCAGCTTCGTTAATGATGATCACTCATCGCCATTTGCCGTTTCCATCACTACGGTTTCCTTGGTTACCCCTCAGGTGTCCCATCCAGGCCATCAGCCATCGTCCTTTTGAACTGCACCGGGACTGAGATGGTGATTGGGTGGAGGGCCCCTACCAGCAGGGACCCAGTCAGAGGATACTATTTGGATCAGACTGACACAGCAGCGGCAGTATGGCGTGAGGTCAATACTCAGCCGGTGAAAGAGAGGACCTACAGGGTAAGGATGTAATCGCCGCCCGGATCTAAAAAAAAAAAAAGACAAAAGAAAAAAAAACATGACAGTGGTCTTCATTTTAATATGCAGGCACTTTAACTAATGGTTCAGTAATGTGGTCCACAGCGCCCTCTCTTGGCAGACAACAGAGGAACTATAATGTGTTTCCCAACTATGATTATCCTTCCAAATGAGCTTTCCCGTCTGAAAATGAGTTATGCCCTTCACTGCATTTATATAACCTAGTATTGTGATTGCAATTAAATTAATGAAAATGCACTGTATTGATCTTTTCAGTAGTAAGCATTCAAAATAATCGCCTGCTTCCAGAGCTGGAGTAAATTGTGCTACCAGGAGTCCTTCCTCCTGTTTAACAGGCAGCAGGCAGCTGGAACATCCAGCCTCATTAGAGACTGTCTGAAATGTGAGCCCATAGGATTTGAATCCGCCTTGATTCAAATTTATATTCATTTTTACAGCCACTGTGATTGGAATTCTTAAAATAACCTAGCGCCATCTGGTGGCCATAACTGGATTTCTTATTTAAAGAAAAAAAACTTTGCCCGAGGAAAGAATTATAATATTAATCAATACAAAAGCACAAAAGTATGTTCTGTGACTTTTATTTTAAAAAAAGGCCCTGGAGGAAGTGACAAAAATGTGCCTCTTTTGAGGAGCGCTACTTTTAACTTGGTACATTACGTGTCTAATCTCTTTTGACATCGAATGAAGAGATCTTAGGAAAGGTTAAGTGCCCCTAAAGAAAAAGATCAATGTCCAGATCAATAGAGAGAACGGCCTCTGACTTTAAAACCCTTTCGCTGGACGGGATCTGTCACAAAGCCCCAGTCATGTTCTCAATGTGCTCAGATAAAGATGTCTTTCCATGTGACTAATCCTACCTCATTCTTGTCTGGAGGGACAGTCCCAGTTCCTCATTTGCAAGCCAAACTTATGGATTTCCTTTGGGTGGCTTAAAACTATTAGGCAAAGGTGGCGGTCTACAGAATTTTCTAGAAACACAAACAGGAGAAGCAGAAGACGCAGAAATAAAATGTCATTTCTTAAAGCTGGAGATTGCTCTATCTATCTTTGGTCGCCCACAAAATATGCTATTGGAGAAATAAACATTATTTAAAAAGACATTAAAAAATGATTCACAGGATAATTTTACAATGAGAGATGTTCAGTGCAGATGAGGAGAAGAAGCAGTTAGTCATCTGGTACCAGGATGTCATAATTTAAAAAGCAGAGCACTGTGTGACTTCTCTAGAGACTGCATAGATCTATTTTTACACCTTAAGTGTAAATCTCCCTGTGTGAAGAACCAGAAGAATGGGAGTCAGTAGCGGTACAGTATGGTACAGTAAGGGTACAGTAGGGTGCAGTAAGGGTCCAGTACAGTATTGGTACAGTACAGTAAGGGTACATTACAGTGCAGTAAGGGTCCAGTACAGTATTGGTACAGTACAGTAAGGGTACTGTACAGTGCAGTAAGGGTACAGTACAGTATTGGTATAGTACAGTAAGGGTACAGTACAGTGCAGTAAGGCTACAGTACAGTATTGGTACAGTGCAGTAAGGGTACAGTAGAGTGCAGTAAGGGTACAGTATAGTATTGGTACAGTACGATACAGTAAGAGTACAGTAGGAACAGTAAGTCTGATCTGTGCTACAGTAACCTTATTGTTTTTATTTGGAAGCACAGAACAGAAGGACCAATGTTCTAACTGCAGATCTCCTGTCCCTGGGGTTGGTGTCTGTGTGTATCTAAGGTACTTACCTGTACTTGGCAGCAGGGGGCAGGTTAACCCGAACCAGCTGTGACTCCAACACCTCAGAGCCATCTGCTTTGCACCCTGGGGCACACGAGGTAACAAGAGCATCTCTGTTGGGGCACGTGGCGGGTAACTCCAGATTCATGGCCGGAGCACCAGGCGCTGGTAACATCCGCTGCAGCCAGGAGAGAGCGCCGCGGCTGGGGAGAGGCGCCAGGCACCCAGCTGGGCCACGCGGCTGCCAGCACTCCTGAGGCGGCCCGAGCCACGTGAATGCGGTCGCCAGGCAACAAAAGGGGGGTGCTTTCAGTGATGGCTGTTTGCTAAGCGGGCTTCTTGGGGAAACTGCAGGGTGCTTCTGGAATCACATTTGATCGGTCGGTTGAATTTTATTTAGTGCGGCATATTTTACCGGCAACTTTTGCAGTGATTTATGGTCATGTTTCCAGAAGGAAATGAAAACCTGGAAAAAAAAACCCAAATGCCAATATTGGGAGAACCGAAAACTAATCCTTGACCCCTCCGAGGGGACTGAGTAGTATCCCAGAAGATAACGTCTCCGGAAAGCAAAAAATGACAAATGCAATTGTCGCCATTTCAAAGTGAATTTCCTGTAAATCACAGAAGCTGGGCGGGTCGCTCTGTGAATCAACTGCCGGAGGGACTGAGACACAGGCGACCACATCAGTATACTGGGTCATGCCAGCACACCAGTCCATTTTGCTGGAAGTTACTGGGGCTAGCCGATGATCTCTGAGCCAAGGGAAGAGGGAATGGGAGGCATATTGTGTTGGTAAATAGCTCTGGGTAGTGACTGAAAGAATAAGATCGCAGATACAAGCGGCGGAAATTAGCTTTCTAGAATGTCTGGGCTCAGCCTTAGAGATAGGGTGAGGAGCTCGGACATTCAGGAGGGGTTCAAAGTAGAGCCGCTGCTCCCCCATATCAAAATGAACCAGTTGAGGTGGTTTGGACATCTAGGATGCCTGCTGGACACACTGGGAGGTGCTCTGGGCATATTCAACCAATAAAAAGAGAGAGGCAGACACAAGACTAGATAAAACTGAGAGCACGGGGACTTAGGCTGACAGCACTGAATGGTTGCCTTAAAAACCCCTGTGGTCAGGACCCCCCCTCCTCTCTACACCTTCAGCTACAGGAGAAGGTAAGGAGGAAGCCTGGCATTGAACTTGAGGTCTGTGGATAACTTTCAGGAGGCCTGTGAACTTGGACGGGAAAAAAAAAATTATACCTGTTATTTCGCTACCTGATTAAAATGTAGCATTTCCTTTCATTAAGAATGTAGGCAACAAAGCAGTGTAGAACTGGTAGAACCTGTGACTTACTGACCAATACAAATCACAGTTGGTCTTTATGTTCCAATTCAGCCAGTGCAGGTGAGAGCAGAACTGAGACGCTGACATGTCCTGTTGGACGTCTTACAGTTGCAGTCTGCCTTCTGCCCTTCGTTGTACCACGGTTAGGCTCTCATTCCACATTTATGGGGAACCAGCACACCAAGTAATCAGAAATATTGTGTAAATCACCAAGGAACCACAAAGTGACCCAAGTCAGGTCCTAAAAATCCAAATTGTCTCTCTGTAAGGCTCTAAGGCCCGTTCGGTACTTCTGATGGGACCGTGTATCTTCTGCCCTAAGGTCAGCGGCCTGCAGATGGGGCATCGCTACCGCTTCCGGGTTTTTGCGACCAACGTCGTCGGCTTGGGGCCGCCCTCGGAGCCCAGTGACGTGTTCCTGTGTGACCCATGGACCATGGATGAGCCAGGTGGGTCCAGTGAGATACTGGCATCCACTTCCGCAGTCCATACTGCCATCGCACATATGTCTCCCAGAGGAACTTCATGCCAGCTTGGTGACTCAGCTGAAGGTCTTCACAGTGTCCTGGGAATGTTCCCGGAAGGTCTGTTTGGGCCTGTGGATGACACGTCTCCATGTTATTACGCTTCTGTATTTGTCGACAAGCAATTTTCACTTAATTATTCATTTAGGTGTATTTCCATTTTGTATTAGCTTTGGTTATTCATACAAGCTATAATAAACTCCACCCACCAACAGAACAAGGCAAGAGCTTATTATGCTAATAATATGTTAATATTAAAATATCCTCCTGGGTTTAAGGCTGTTTACTCTCAGCATCCAGTTTATTGGGTACAGCTGCCTATTAATGTAAACAGCAGTTCGTGTGGCTTAGCTGCAAACCACATAGAGGGTGAAGACGTTCGCTTACCTTTTGGTTCAGAAGCAGAACGTCTACGATGCTTAATCTAAGCAAACTTAAATGCGGTGTGATTGTTGATGCCACACCCAGTCGCCCTCCTGAGATTCATGAGTACAGTAGAAACTTGGAACTTGAATACCTCTTAGCCTGACCAACTCGGACATCAAATGGGTCTGTTGAATATTTTTTGAAGATTTCCTGGAAATCTTGGAGCATTCAAACTTTGCCAACAGGCCAGTTGAGAAAAATCCAGCCACAACACGACAAAACAAACCAGACCCGCTAAAACTTGTATGGATCGTGACGCGTCTCCCCTTCCAAACGATAACCCCTCCATCCCTCCTCCTCTCCACCTGCCACTTCCAGTTTGCCGTCAGCTCATCTCAGTACAGCTAAAGTGCTCATAAATTGCCATTTATTTCATGTTTATTGCTTTTGTATCTGTGGTTTTTCACATGATTATTACTTTTATATTACTTGCTAATGGTTTTTATCATTAGTTAGATAGGTAGATAAGTTTAAATAAGCAATCATTTGTGGGTCTGGAACAGATCAAATTTATTTACATTATTCCTTATGTGGTAATTCGACTTGAACCTCGACCAAATCTACAGAGAATGATGTGACAAATAATAAAGGATCCAGTCAGCATCTATTCTGTTGCAGAAAACATCTTGTTAATAAGAGAAATCAGTGGAGATTGGCAGGACTCGTTAATGCTAATGGGAAAAGCCGCAAGTGCAAAAATAACAGTTCAGTACAGCAGTGGTGTGCAGAAAGGCTTCTCTGAAAGCATAGCTCAGCTACACTTGAAGCAGATCAGGAGGAAAAAGCCGGTTCTATGTGAAGCTCGCTACATCTACCCAATATTAGCTACGGAGTGCAGTGAGTGAAGCTGTCCCTTGTATGATATCTGTCATTCGTATGAAATGTTGAGGTACCGTGGTTATGTGCTCCACGTACCACATGACAGGAAGTGCCAGCCGTATCAGCGTAGGTGGATTTATCGAAAATGATTGTGAGGATTGAAACTCATACAGCCGGTTTGCTCTCAGCGCCAAGAGGAAATAGAGGAAAACAAAATGGGCGTGAGACCACTGTCAGAGGGGTGCAGGGTCGGGCGTCCGGATCTGGGTGCGAGTTCCGGAAATGTTCAAGATCAAAAAGTCCAGATTCGTAATAAGGCAGATACGCAGCTCAACCTTTTCAGAAACCTTAGGTGACTTGCAAGGCCCCCCACCAAGAAAACGGATGATCATTTAATTTCCTCCACAATGCATGTAATTCAGGCCCCCAGGCTGCCTGTTCTCCCTATAGCTAGGGGTATCCCCCTCCAAACAGTCAAATATTAAACAAAATGAAGCGCATTTACTGTATGTTTTCATTTTTTACTTTCTGTACTTTTACACTCGGACTCATTAGCCTAAGAAACAGATGTGATCCGAAATAAAGGTAAACAATGATGCGGTCATATGAATTATAAATGCCCCAGTGCGGACAGCAGTATCTCAGAGACAAAGGGTAGGGCGTCGGAAACCTAACGGTGCCACGGGGGTCACTTACGATGCGGCGTAGACATTAAAAATGGAGGTCACTTGCTGCACAGTTCATTAATTCCACAGGCCGGCTCCACTTCACCTCGTTAAAAATTCAGACACGACTGAGGATCATTAAGCAAACGAGCCGTCGCATCCCTCATGGAGAGGGCAGGGTGCGTGCGTTCCCCTTATGATCGCCGGTGTTTATTCATTGTTTTCGACGTGATGGTCCCTTCGATAATGGGCCACTCGCTGCATTATATGTTTCCACACGGGCCTGATATGAGCTGAAGGACCTTGTGTTTCCTGTGTTTTCTTTAGCCAGTGTTTCCCAACCCAGTCCTCGGGAACCGCCAGACATTCCGTATTTTTGCTACCTTGCAGCTCCCAGCACACTTGAGCCAAGCAATCAAGGACACTGGTACAGCGGTGTTGGGATTTGGGCGGGAGCAAAAATGTCGACTGTCTGGGTGTCTCTGAGGACCAGGTTGAGAATCGCTGTCCTTAGTAACAGGACCATGCGCTTCATAAGAGGCTCAATGTGAGTTGAAATGTACAGGTACTGTGGGGAAGGGGGAGAGTGTCCCCTAAAACGAAAGCTCCATCAGAAGGATCGTACAAGATTTTGTCAACGTGTCATCCTGGTGCATTCTGGGTAGAACCCTACCTCTCCCCATAGCCCAGGATATGAACCTACATGTCTGGTATACAAGTCAATATTTTCACTGACAGTATGCATCATATCTATAACTATGTGTGTTCTTTGAAAACTCAAGAGATTGGTGCTCTGTGATAAAAATGGGTCCAAGGCTCTTCAGGCATGTGTTGTTCCTCTGAGCCAGGAGGGATGACCCTGCAGCACAATCTACCTCTCCCCCCAACATCAGGGTGCCCCTATGACCTGGTGTTCAGAGAAGTGCGCATAACATCACTGGTCCTGCTCTGGGAGGGGCCTATGTACGAGGGGCGGAGTCAGGTCACAGGGTACCTAGTGGAGATCAACAGCCAGGACGAGGCAGAGGGCTGGACTCGGCTGACCCAAGACCCAATCCCAGACACCCATCTTAAGGTCAGTAACATTGTGATTTGTGGAATTGATTACTAAAATTCAGTGCAAGGCTGCCGCAGAAATGATGCACAGTTATTCCATAAATGCCTGTAATTTGTGGAAATGTAACTAATTTCACTACATAATCACAACAAATATTTAACATTTTGATTTTTTTTCAACTTCACACTGTTTCTCACAGGTGTCAGGTCTGCAGGCAGGTAAAACCTACATTCTACGCGTTTCTGCAGTCAACAAATTCGGTGTGGGCATGCCCTCCCTGCCATCTGAGCCAATCACAGCTCAGACAAAGCCAGGTGACTGAATGGGTGATTGGAAATGATTATTTCCGATTGGTTGATTGAAAATGATGATTCCTAATTTGCCTAGGACAGTGGTTCTCAATCCTGTTCCTGGTGACCCCCTCAGAATGTTTTCATTCCAACCCACACTGTTTCTTTATTAGCCCATTAAGGACCATATGAACCTGATCAAGGTAGGTTTGGAATGGAAACATTCTGGCAGGGGTGGGGGATCGGGAAGAGGACCATTGGCCTCGGACATCCTCACAGTTGCTGATCTGAACTATTCCACCATCAGGAACAAAGGATGTGGAGATCGGGGTGGACAACGATGGCTTCATCTTCTTGGGCTTTGAATGTCCTTTGGGGACCGAGGCCAGCCAGCTGGTGTGGGCCAAGAACTACACAGAGCCCATTGGTGGTGGACGGGCACGTGTGGAGCTCAAAGGCAACCGGTGAGAAAGAATGAAGAGAAGCCAAAAACCTAGATCCAGGAACCCAAGGCTATTAAATGGTTACGTCTTAAGGACAATGTGTAGATTGGCTAACAGAACAATCACATCATCTTCCCCGCACTCAACTCTTCAAGTCTTGATTGGGCAGCATCTGAGTCACACTTCTCCATTGTCTGGCTCACCCTCCAGGTCCACCATCACGTTCCTAAACCCCTCCGAGGAAGACCTGGGCCTTTATACCGTAGTGAAAGGTGATGAGCAGGACATCTCCTCCAGCTACAACTTGACTGCGGAAGGTAGGGCTCTGTTGTTGAGAATAATGCTTCATTGTTGAGCGTAAACCTCTGTAATTGATGGTAAGGCTCCATTGTCGAGGTTAATTCTTCATTGCTGAGCGTAGGGCTCCTGTTGAGAGCGAGTCTCCATTGTAAGTTTCCTTAGTTGATGGCTAAGCCTCTTTTTTTAAGTGTGAGTCTCCTTTTTAAAGACTAAGTTTCTGTTACTGACGGCTAATCTCTATTGCTGTAGAGCACCACTGCAGGCCAACTGTACTTCCTGGCTTTTCACATCTGAGTTCATTACTCAAAAAACATATCAAACCTTCATAGAACAGCCCAGTCTGGCTCAAGGCCCATGGGTTTGTGAGCACACGACCGTGTGTTTCTTCACCTCTTATGGTGCCTTACTGCACTATTTGAACATCTTTCTCTATATGCATTCATGCATAATGCATCGGTCTATATGACTGATGGATAACATGACATCCACACATCCATTTTCTGTAACTGCTTGTCCTATTCAGGGTCATGGGGGGGTCTGTAGCCCATCCCTGAAGCTATGGGCACAAGGGAGGGAACTTCGCTGTAACACACATATGCACACCTATGGGCAATTTAGTAACTCCATTTAACCTCATCACGTATTTTGCACTGGGGGGGGGAAACCGGAGTAGCCAGTGGAAACACACTATGACACAGGGAGTCCTGGTCCCTGACTTATGAGGCAACAATGCTAACCACTGCACCACTGTGCCACCCCCCTGGTTGATGACATGTACACCGGTTTTGGTTTTCCCCTCAGATCTGGAGAAGATGCAGGAACTCAGCTGGCAAGTCAGAAATCCACGTAAGTGTTTGTGACGCCGAACTGGGGCCCGTAAACAGGGCAAAAAAGAATTACATTGTTTCTCTACACCATAAACGGTGCCACACCCCATAATTTAATTCCAAAGAAAACTGTGCTGGTTTTAAAGAGCCTGACAGGAGCATGCTCACAATGATGATAAAATATGACCCGACTTTAAAAAAGCATATATTATACATGACAACCTGCCAAACTGGATCTCCAATTATTATGGCACTAGGAGCTTTGTTCAGCTGTCTTAAAGGGAAAGGTTGAGTCTCGGAATTCAGGCCGTCGTCATCGTCACCATCAGGAACACAGTCCGGCTGTTATTTACTTAACCACTAGCTAGTTTAGCCATCTAGTGCCACATCCAGAGGCCACATTCTCATTGAATGCTTCCCTGTGGCATCTGCGCATTATTGAGAAATGTTAGAATCAAGATAGCAAGAGGATCTGTAGGCCGGGACACAGCTGGAAATTCTGGGACCCCTGACAAAATGTCACCTTAGACCCCCTGCTATGGTCCTCTTGGTACTTTTTGCCGAGTGGGGAGGAGAGTCCCTCCCAGTAGATTTATTTTTTCCCTCCATATCCCCTGACTGTAAGAGCGACTTTGGATCCTTAGGGGTAATCTTGGGTCCTCGAGAGTTTTGTCGCTGCAGCGGCCATCTTGTAGATGCTTGTCCTAGACGTGGTCACAGTCAAGGCCGGATTAAGAGTAATAGGTGCCCCCAGATGACAACACACGTGACGTTGTGTCGGGAAGAAACAGAGCTGATTGGCAGCTCATGAGGTTCAGCGATGCATCCAACACAGGTGTTTACATAGGATGTTAGATGTTACATAGGATTCTCAGCAAGTGCCATAATAAAAGAACAACGTATAATCATATTAAATATTTTAGGTATGAAATTGCATCAAGGTGCCCGACAAGGTGCCCAAATGCCCAAGGATTATCAGTGTTCAGACATGAGCTATTCATGATTGCGAATGTCGGTCTTGTCTGCTGTAAAAACGAGAAAAGAAGTCCAGCATGGGAGAGAGCGGGAATCAGTAATGTGTGACGTGTGCCGCACGCCGCAGTGATCGCTCTGAAGACGCCCTGGACGGTGGACGTGTCGGAGCAGGGCTCCATCCGGCTGTGGCTGCAGACAGAGCCGCTCAGCGAGGCCGCGCAGCTGCACCTCATCCTGAACGATCGGGAGATCACCAGCACCCCGGTGAGGAGTCTCTGCCTCTCTCCTCTGGGGAGTAGGTCTCCATGGAAACGTAAAATGATCCCAAAGTAGAGGAATATTGCCGCCGTTAGGATATAAATACATTTTTATTAATGTCAGACCTTAAGCTCATAACTTAACATCTGCTTTATTAGATATCGGGTTGTAAACGCAGGTTTGTGACAGTCTTGTTTTTTGTGGTGGAGCATCTTATGCATTAATCCCGAACCCTTTCAGTCCTTGCATTTTATTTTCAAGTTCATTGCTGTGTTTTACGCCTCAGTATCATCTGTGGAATACTCTCCTTATGACATCAATGCCGCCTGAGATATTGGCCCTCATGAGAGCATATTGAGCCCCAACCCAAACCAATCCAAATATGTTTCAAATTTTTCAGGGCCCCTATCACTCAGTGGCCCTTGGAATTGTCCTAAATCCCCCCCCCCTTATGGCACTCCTGACCTAAGGCACCCCCTAAGGAATGTTAATTGTAAGACACAGCATTCCTGGGTAATGGGATCGCAATACATCTTAACATTAAAATATGGGTCAGCTACTGATATCACATGGTGACTGCGGCTGAACTCCATCTCCACCTTTCTCCTCACCCCAGGAGCGCAAGATTAACTTCCACAAAGCTCGCGGAATTTTGGAGGTTCTGATCGACCAGCTGTGCCCAGATGACGAAGGCTCTTACACTGCTCAGCTTCAAGACGGCCGCGCGAAGAACCAGTTCACCCTGGTCCTGGTAGATGAAAGTAAGGCCTGATCTTCTACATTGACCCTGCTGTAATTATCCATTTGACAGTGGAAGGTCATCATCAGACTGAAATACCAAAACGCAGCTCTTTGCATTCGTTGCATGTGTGTTATGAATATGGACAAAAAATATACTTTTACTCACAAAGGTCTTGTTCCCACAGACCATACTGTCATACATGTTGTCCCCAGAAATGTCCTTGTTAGATACTAATTAGGCTCATGAGTTCACTGCAAAATGAAGTTTCACTTTGAGTAAGTAGGTCGAACTTAAAAAAAAAAACACTCCCACAAATTGTTCCACATAGATGCAAATTCATTTTTTAGATTCATTAGCACATTAATTAGCTTAATTGAACCTTTTCAAATGAGCTGTCAGTACTGTAAGTGTGCCAGAGCGAGAGGTGGTCGGAGATCCAGAAGATCATCACACCAAGGTTTGGTTGTGTATGTTCTGCGTCTGTCCGGTTGGCGGTAAGCTAACCTCGCTGTTCTGTCGCTGGCAGAGTTCCGTCAGACTCTGGCCCAGTCCGACGCCAAAAGGAAGGACTGGAAGAGAAAGTCGGGTGAGTGACCCCGGGGTCGCCGGCTCAGACTCCATCCACCCAGAGGCTCACTGGCCTTAACTAAACAACACCAGGGTCTAAAAGCAAATGAACCACCACACTGCACATCCCAGCTCAAGCATAACATGCAGTCTCAGCTCATAGAGAGATAAAGGTCATGGGGTAAGGAACTGCCCCCCAAGTGCTGAAGGAAAACCCAGAGCCTGGTTAGATTCTGATCGACTTCCAGAAGCCAGGGGAATGTAAGTCATTGATGGATCACGGTCTGCCCTTCCAGGACCTCACTTCCTGGAGTTTCTGTCCTGGCAGGTGACGAAGGACTGTGAGCTAATATTCAGATGTCAGGTGTGTAATGTTACCTCTGCCTTATTGTATATTCTGAGCCTTTTGCAAATTGTGCACATTGTTCTGTAAAGATGATGGTGTCCATCGGGTCTGAACTCTGTGTAGAAGCATCTAGCATGACGCTGCATTTTCTCAAACACATCAGCCAGCGGTAAGTGTTTTCTGTATGTGTGTGTATGTTTATGTGTGTGTATGTTTATGTGTGTGTCTGTCTGTGTGTGCACCCGCGTGTCCTGGCAGGTGACCAACGTGAACCGGGACACCTGCCTGAAATGGTTCAAAGACGGGGGGGAGATCAGCAATACCACTTATGACCTGAAGACCGGAGTCAGCACATACACTGTGCCACAGGTAATCAGAGCTACACCAGACCCTGGCTGAGGGGGGGTGCTCATTTAGAAAGGGTTTGTGGAGGCACATTAACATAGACCGAGGCCATGGGGCTGTTTGAGTTGTCAGAGTCCCCCCCCCCCCACCCTCTTCTTTGATGGTGTAGCTGTTGGGGGGAGGGGGTTGCTGGGAATGATAAAAGTCGTTGACTGGTTGGGTGGTGGGGGGAATTTAAAATGATCTTAAACTAGATCCCTGAGTTTCAGCCTGTTAGCCCATGTATTACGGTATTACGGTGCCCTGCTTACCAATTACACATCATGCTGATTATGATCCAGTATAAAGATGCAATTCCATGGCAAAAGGGTGACAACATCCTGTACTGGATGGGTTTAGGGTTGAGGCGTAACCAAACATGCAGGCGGAAGCTGCCTGTTGGGTGTGTTGAATGTTCCTGGTGACTACTGGTTTTTTGGGAAAACACTTCCTGAATTTACACTACATCAACCACACATGTGGGTTAATGAAAGAGTTCAGAGGGTTAAACTGTGTAAAACTCACAGCTCCTGTAAGATGAGAGAAAACCAGTGGTGATTTGAGACCATGAGAATCATTGACATACCTGCATGGTTCAGAATGAAGAGTCAGACTTAGGGGCGCCGTAAAGGGGGGGTGGGGAGCATTAGGACTATTTGTTACATAATTGGATTGGTCTGGATTGGGGCCTAATATGATATTCTGTCGTTGGGCCCAAAGTCCCTAGGGGCACCCCTAGGTAGGAGGTGTCACACAGCAGGGAGCAGTTTAGCACTTGAGGTTAAGGAGAAGACTCTCCTACTGTATTACTGAGTCATTTATTACGCTTAAAGCTTGCTGATAGTAACCCTGTCTCTGTAGGTTACAAGGAAGGAAATGGGGGTGTACAGGGCAGTGGTGTCGGACGGCAGAGGAGAGGACGTCAGCACGCTGCAGCTGGTGGATGAAGGTGGGTCAGCTAGGACACCTCCCTGGGCCACTGTGAGCCCGAGACCCTGCCCAGCACCCCCCGAGTGTCCCCGCTGTCCAAATGGTCACTCTGTCCTGTCCTTCCCTTGGCAGAGTTCGAGAAGCTCCAGCAGAGACTCAGCAAACAGTGCGGTACGTTTTCGATCTTCGATTATTTTTTTTTTACCCCAAAAAAAGTAACACATAGCCTGAAGATTTTTCTTTCCAGCACAACTGAAACTTGAGTCAGTTTGAGTGAAATTTACACGCAGCCTTAGCTGCCAGTACAGTAACTCAGGTCGCAGACCAATTTTCATACACGAATACAGTTTGTTTTGGTGTTTTAACGCAGGAATACCGGACTGTGACAGATTCTATGGCTACAGTCACCAACATTCCAGCAAAGCCCACCAGTAAAACCATATTTGATGCCTTCAGTACCAGTGGATTCTTCTCTCACTCCTGCCTCTCCTCACTCAGCTCTGTCCGCCGGCCCCCTGGAGATTCAATGCACCGCTGTGGGCTTCAGGATCTCCTGCTCTCTGAAGCACTACCTGGAATACCTGAAAACCAGCTGGTTCCACAGGTGGGTTTCCCTCCATGCCACGTTCTGCCCGCTTTAGCGCTGGCCTGGGCTTTGTGATCAGCGGCTGCCGCTTCTTCACTCTGCCTTTGCATCAGGGAGAAGCGGATCGACCAGGACCAGAGAGCCCTGCCCGGCAGCAGCATGCGGAAGCTGTGGGTGGAGATTCTCGGCCCCACGGAGAGCGACAAGGGCAAATACTCCCTGCAGATGTTCGATGGGGCTGAGACTCATACGCGCACGCTGGACCTGTCTGGCCAAGGTACACGCTGTCCAGCAGGGGGCGACATACGGAAGCCGAACAAGTGCAGGACATGGGTGGGGGGGCACTTATACCCTTATACAGTACATGTTGTATCTGACATCAATGATGCTGTGTGGTGTGGGAATTGCATCAGAGGTCTTTGGTGGGGGAGCTGACCATAATGTGCAAGAAGTGGGAGTAATAGTCAATATGTAGACCAAAGAGGATGGGGGGGGGGGGGGTTCAGCATAAGGAGTCACAGTCACAGAGTACTCAACTGGTTGGTTGAAACAAAATCCCAGTCTGGACTTTTACTCTCTGGATCTGAATTACCTAACTCTGCTCATGGGGAACATGCACTGGATCCCCACTGGTCCTGGCCTGGATCCCCCTTGAATCGTTAACTACGCGTAGCCAATACTGCTATTTTACATTACCTGGGTGTCTGAACCTATGTGCAGAAATGTTGGAGCCGTGGGTCCTCGTGTCCCATCACCTGCCATCTACCAGGGCTCTGTTTGATGAGCCCTAAGGCCCTTTCTGTCCTCTCTTCCCGCAGCTTTTGAAGACGCCATGTTGGAGCACCAGAGGCTGAAGTACGTAGCAGCTTAGCCGCCCGACTGGAAACACTGTCGCCAGCAGACTTACAGCATGGGGCCCCTGTGACATTAACCACCATTAATGCCGCGCCGGTCCGGTATTACACCTTAATAATGTCACTGTGCTCTTTAACATTGTGTAACAGGCATCCACGCAGCTGATCAATCACTGCAATGTCACAAAATAACCTCTGACTAATCGATTAATGGGAGATGTGTTTAAAAAAACGCGACTCATAATGTCCCCGAAAATTTGAGCCCAGAGACAAGTGGGCAGAGAGGAATTCACGGAAAATATAGTAGCTAATTAAAGTGCGACATTAATAAATGATTAAACGCTAAGCCAGCACAGGTTCCCACTAAATGTCATCCGTTAAATTGCACTTTAATTGCTTTTTTGTGCTCTGTTTGGCCCTTTTGAACCGATAGGTGTAAAATGCTTCCTACATACTCTGACTAACATAATGACTAATAACTTTTATTATATAAGTATGGGAGGTATTTTCTGCAAAAAATAAAATGAAAATGATAAAAAGAAAATACAATCTCCACTTTGCCATTTAGTTTCCAAAGACTGTGCGCAAAATTCCTGCAAAAATTAAAATTTAAATGAAATAGCACTATTTGCATTTTAGTTTTCCACTCATGTATGAGTCAGATATGAAAAATTAAAAAATAAAATTAAAAACCCTTTTTGTCTTTGGCCATGGTCAACCATTTCGCCCAAACTAATGGCAAAGTCACACGCGGCTTAAGTTAGCTACTAATCTGCAGCTTTCGATTCATTTAGCTTCTTATTCATAGCGTCTTATTTTGCAGAAAAGTCAATGAAAGTGAAAAGTCAAATTGGAAAATGAAAAGACAAAAACCGTTTTTAATTTTATTTTTTAATTTTTCACATCTGACTCATACATGAGTGAAAAATTAAAATGCAAATGGTGCTATTTCATTTTAATTTTAATTTTTGCAGGATTTTTGCTAAATGGCAAAGTGGAGATTGTATTTTCTTTTTATCATTTTCATTTTATTTTTTGCAGAAAATACCTCCCATATATAAGTGGATACACCTTTGTATAATATTTGATATTTTGTATCTTGCCTTCTCTCCACACCTGTGTCTTCATCCTTTAGGCAGGTGGCCATTGCAGAAAAGAGTAAGTGGAGCTCATGTCATCCGGAAACCCGCCTGCATCCCTCAGCCACTCTTGTTTCTCATTTTCTGCTTTAGAAATTCCTTACTGTTCCTATTTCTATGTCTCATTCTGTTCTTCCTATTTCTATGTCTCATTCTGTTCTTCCTGTTCCTATTCTTATGTCTCATTCTGTTCTTCCTGTTCCTATTCTTATGTCTCATTCTGTTCTTCCTGTTCCTATTCTTATGTCTCATTCTGCTCTTCCTGTTACCATTCTTATGTCTCATTCTGTTCATCCTGTTCCTATTCTTGTCTCATTCTGTTCTTCCTGTTCCTATTTTTGTTTCATTCTGTTCCTCCTGTTCCTATTTTTGTTTCATTCTGTTCCTCCTGTTCCTATTCTTATGTCTCATTCTGTTCTTCCTGTTCCTATTCTTATGTCCTTATACAGTAAAATCCACTTGTAACGGACTTCAAAGGTCCTGGCAAAACAGTCTGTTATATCCAGAGTTGCTGTTTGCCCAGAACACAACTACAGGACACCATTTACTCATGCCACACCCCAGCAGACACACTTGTGGTATAGATTATTATATTGTACGAAAAACTTTACCTGACTAGCTGCGTAACTATTAATAATCCCGACTCCGTATCTGCGCTGGAAATCACCGGCACGCCACGCGCCTTGTAGGCGGAGCTGCA